ATGAAGCATATAACTTTCATCTGAGACTAGGGATGGATTCGGTTCGGGCCACCTGGCCCGGCCCGGTACTGTGCGGGCCCGGGACCGGCCCGGTCGGGCGGTCCGGGACCGGGTATGGGCCCGAACCGGTGGGAAGGGGCAGGGCGGGCTCGGTTCAGCATTATTGTGACCCGGCCCGGCCGGGTCGGGCCCGGGCCCGGGTCCGGTTCAATTTTTTTTTTAAAAAAAATTTGGTTTGGGCTCCTACTAGCCGTTGGGGGTGGGGCTGGGGACAACCCAAACGGCTATATAGCCGTTGGGTGGGGTAAAGGGGGGGTCCGGGGGGGTTGGGTGGTGGGTGGGTGGGGGGTAAAAAAACTTATAAATACTCCTAATCTTAAACATTTTTTCATATCTCTTCTCCAATTCTTCCTAAATCCTATTCTTAACTCTCTACTCTCTAATTCTCTTATTCTCCATTCTCCAATATATTATATTTATTATTTATAGTTTATATTAATTATCTACTTATATAAACTATAAATAGATATAAATAGTATTATATTACTTATATTTGTTATCTAATTATATATTACTTATATATTTATTATATCTATTAATATAGTTGGAATTATATCTAATTAATTTGAAGTCATTCTATTACTCCCATCCGAAAGACCGAAAGTCCGAAAGAGGTACGAAATTATTCTATTATTTACACTTGTTTAATTACTAGTTAATTAGTATAGTTGGAATTACAATTTTTTATTAATATAGTTGGAATTACAATTTTTTATTAATGGCTACATTTGACTCTAGTTTAAAAAATATGTTGTACACAAAACTAGTTAATTCACTACTTAATTTGCTATAACTCGAATTAATATTTAGATAAATAGTTAATTAGTTTTTTTACAATTTTTTATTAATGGCTACATTTGACTCTAGTTTAAAAAATATGTTGTACACAAAACTAGTTAATTAACTACTTAATTTGCTATAACTCGAATTAATAGTTAGATAAATAGTTAATTAGTTTTTTACAATTTTTTATTAATTGCTACATTTGACTCTAGTTTAAAATATATGTTGTACACAAAACTAGTTAATTCACTACTTAATTTGCTATAACTCGAATTAATAGTTAGATAAATAGTTAATTAGTTTTTTACAATTTTTTATTAATGACTACATTTGACTCTAGTTTAAAAAATATGTTGTACACAAAACTAGTTAATTCACTACTTAATTTGCTATAACTCGAATTAATAGTTAGATAAATAGTTAATTAGTTTTTTACAATTTTTTATTAATGGCTACATTTGACTCTAGTTTAAAAAATATGTTGTACACAAAACTAGTTAATTCACTTAATTTGCTATAACTCGAATTAATAGTTAGATAAATAGTTAATTAGTTTTTTACAATTTTTTATTAATTGCTACATTTGACTCTAGTTTAAAAAATATGTTGTACACAAAACTAGTTAATTCACTACTTAATTTGCTATAACTCGAATTAATAGTTAGATAAATAGTTAATTAGTTTTTTACAATTTTTTATTAATCGCTACATTTTTTAGATGGATCGTCCTAGATATTCGGTTGATATGGGTAACCTCGAGCGCAACCGAACGAAAGAGCTTGCGAGGAAGAGATCCCGCAAAGGTAAATCACATATCGGCTCTTCATCTCAAAGTCAAGATGATTTTGATACGGGTTACGTAAGGAGGGATGGGGATGCGATGACCGACGAACAACTAGAACAAGAATTGCACCGACATAATTCCCGCTTTTTTCAAGACCAACCGAGGACCATTGACGAAGAAGAGCTCGAGGATGAGGACGACGATGTGGAGGAAGCAATTCCGGAGAGCCACGACGAGGAGGAGGAGGAGGGTGGCGGCAGCCATGACGCCGACCAAGCAGCCTCATCCCAAACAGGTACAAAAAAAAGTAAATCTGAATTAATGGCTAATAATTTTACTAAGTGGAAGGACCCGAACACCGGGAATTGGACCACAACTTGCAATTGGTGCAAGAAAAACTATAGCTTGGGGATTTCCGGCGGATACGGATCCGCCACAAGACACCTTAAGTCCAAACACCCGGTGGAGTATGCAAAATTAGGCGGCGGAACGGGGAAGCAAACGCAAATATCGAGGTTTGCAAATAACCAACAAGCTTTTGGTAATTTCTCTTACAATGATGCACAAAATTTGACAGGTATGGCTAACTTACTTGTTGAAGAAAATTTGCCTTATTTGTTTTCTGAAAGTCTTGCTTTTCGTGATTATGCACAAACTTGTTTAAATCCGCAATATAGAGGTTATAGTCGCAAAACGGTTAAGAAAGAAATTTAAAGGCTTTATGGTGCGGAAAAGGTAAGGTTACAAAATTATTTTGCAAACTTTGATGGACGTGTTACTGTATGTTCTGACATATGGGAGGATACTTATCATAATTTACATTATTTGGGTTTGACTGTACATTATATTGATAATGATTGGCATATGCATAAACGTGTTCTTGCTTTCCGTGAATTTAATGATCGTCACACCGCTGAACATATTTATATTTTGATTGAACGTATTTTAATTGAGTATAATTTAATTGATAAGGTGTTTGCTATTGGTTTTGATAATGCTACTAATAGTACTGCTGCTATTCCTAGATTGCGTGAATTGTGTGGTTCTACTTCTTTGATGGGTAGATTTTTTCATCAACGATGTGCATGTCATGTTCTAAATTTATGTGTGCAAGATGGTCTAAAAGCGTTGGGAGCATCGTTGGAGGTAGTCAAGGGGGGGATTAGACGTATTTGGGGTAATGGACACCTTAGGAAAAAATGGCATGATTATTTGATAGAAAGAGGTGAGAGATATGTGGCTTTTCCAAAAGATTTGTCTATTCGTTGGAATAGTACCTATAAGTTAATTGGAGTTCTTCTTAGATATAAACAACATTTTCCTGCTTTTATGAAACAATATGATAACTATATTATAAACTCGGCTGAGATCGACACCTGTGAAAAAATTTGTAATGCTTTGATATATTTTAATAATGCAACTGAAACTTTTAGTCATGTTTATAAACCTACCTCAAACCAATTTGTTCGTGAAGCTGTTAATCTCGCCGGTGCTTTTTCAAATTTTGAAAATGCTGATTATGTGAATTATTTTGCTGGTTTTATGAAGGAAAAGTTTTTAAAATATTATTCACATATTCCGCATATTTATGGTATTGCATTTGTTCTCGATCCTCGTTTTAGACTTGGTTCTTTAGAAGAATGTTTGAATTATTATTATGCTGCTTTTTTTGGTCCATTGCCAATGTATGAGGACAACCCAATTGATCCGAAAAAAGAATACAACGAGGTTAGTGATATATTTTATGCATTATTCAATGAGTTTCATGCACAATATGGCAATGCACCCCCTCCCCCGACACAAACATCATCTAAAGGAAAATCAATTTTCAAATCTACGTTTGCCAATCTTATTAAAAAAACAAAATCAACTCCCGCTACACAACAAAGCACAATTAATGAGATTTCTTTGTATTTAACTTATGATGTTGATTTTGAAGAAGATGATGATTTTGACGTACTAAACTGGTGGAAGGAAAAAGAAAGAATGTTCCCGGTTTTAGCAAAGATGGCTAAGCAAGTGCTATCAATGCCGGTTTCAACGGTTGCCGTGGAACAAGAATTTAGTTCGGCCGGCAATGTTCTAACACAAACCAGAACGAGGTTGAGCGTTGAATCTCTTGAGATGCTTATATGCTACCACGATTGGTTGAAAGCAGCACGTAGAGCTCAAGAAATTGACATCACTCCATCCCAACACTTTATGGATGAATCTACAGAGGGTGGCTCTACTTATGTCGGAGATTCCGATTAAAAACAATTATAGTTCCTATTTAATTTTCAAATGTAGTTCCTATTTCATTTCAAATAAATGCACTTGAAGTTTGTTTTTTAATACTTGTATAAAACTATAAAGTATAAAATATAAATTAAAAAAAAAAAATTACCCGGCCCAGCCCGGCCCGGCCCGGCCCGGCGGGTGGCCCGACCCGTGACCCGGGCGGGTGGCCCAGCCCGAACCGGACCCGTCCAACCCTCGGGCCGGTCCCGGGCCCTCTATTCTAGAACCGGCGGCCCGACCGGGCCCGACCCGAATCCATCCCTATCTGAGACTAGGACTTGTGGACTGGCAGCCATCTTTAGCTCGGAGATCGCTGACGTGGAAATAAAAGGAGAAAGAAATGTAAATAAAGAATAACAAAAGAAAAATCTGAAAGAATAAGGGCCAAGAAGAAGCGGAAGCAAGAGAAAATGAGAGGAGGAAAGAGAGAAAAAGGAAACTGGAAAAGTCAAGGAAAAAAGAAGAAGACATGAACTAATCAAATGACGTTAAAAAAAGTTATATTCCGATAATTTGGCTCTTGTGACCCTTTTTTAATCGCAGATTATATCGTACAACCAGCACACCATGAGGATGGTGCGCACTGCTGCAAAACGGTTGCAAAACACAGTAGTATGAGCCAATAGTGATATGTTGCAACAAAGAAGATGAAGCGGCGGCCGCTATGAGAGTCCAGTGGCGATGAGCGATGAGAGTCCAACGACGAAGAAGCTAAATTGGCAAGCAGCGCGTTGACATTCAAAACCAGATTCGGTGGTTGGTTGTTGGAATGAAGAAGACGAACCAGCGATGACGGGCGGTGGTTTAGCTGGTGGCGCCGATCTTTTCAAATTTAATTTGAAGGCGGCACGTCGACCTACAACATTAGAGCTGATGGTTACTTATTGCAACAAAGAAGATGAACCACAGATGTTGAAGTTACATGTCCGTAAGGACATTTTACATTTCAAAGGGCTGTAGTTACATCTCCCAGGTTACATCTGACTTGCTTCCGAGTTACATTTCAGTTAAAGGAATTTACATTTCAACGACTTACATCTGAATAAATATAATTTACATTTTGATAAACCTTAAGTTACATATGGATTCACACAGTTTACATTTGATATAACCTTGGGAGCAGGATGCTCACCATGCACCGCTCCCACTGTATAGCAACTGTTTTTTAAGAGTTGACATGTTTATGTGATCTTTTTTTAGTACATGGGTTTATGTGATGTTTTTGCAATACTAGAAGGGTTTATTTGACATTTTGACCCTTTTCTCAAACGCCGATAGAGAAGTTCTCTTTGATAGACTCAACCAAAGCGCTTCTTGAATAAATGGTGTCTCTTCGTCGGATCTTTGGGTTTGCTTTTCTGTGTATGCCCCCCATGCTTCTTTTGCCCACTACTGCATCAATCATAAAATAGCAAGTCTTAATAAGTCAAGAAATTTATAACAAAATAAAATGACCAATGGAAAACTCGGTACAACATCAAACTTCAAAACTAAAACCCCTCTGCTTTTTCATTCTTAATTAACAGGAGCATGGATTTTAAATTTCACATGCAAATTACAACATCCCATAAATATAGAAAGTTGGAAACTGATCAAATTCACTATAGGTGAAAAGAGTAGTAGACATACTTGTATTCCATATAAACCATCCCACGTGCGCCTGACATTGCACTCATTGAGCCCATTACACGACGGGCTTTCTGAAGCGCAATGTCATCTGCGTCTTCTTCAAGTTGCTCCAGACCAACTAAATCATCTCCTGCACTTAGTACCTATTATTAAAAAGGGGAAATAGATATCAGGTTAGCTGGCACAATCATGTCCAGATGTTGGTGAAAGAATACACATACAAACACTCATACATAGAATTTAGTTCAAATAAAAAAGTACTAAGGTGAATGTTTTATACTAAGTTTGGACATTGATTTAAAAATGGAAGGATGTATCAGTTTTTAAAGCCAAATGAAAGCAAGTTGTAATATGAAGAACGTTTAATAAAAAAGCAATAACAAAAGAGCATCACTGTATAACTAAACTAGACCTGTACATTACAAAAATGCATCCATGTCAAAAACAAAATGTGCATGGTTGAAAAAGGGAGATGATGGTTTTATGAATATGCGAAGTGCACTCTTATGTGCACTATGACGTATTTAAAATCATTGATTGTTGCATATCACATTTCACATGTTTATGACTATGTCAGTGTGTGTTTTGGTGACAAGCTGACCATTCATCCATTTCTAAGAGATGATAGGCTTAAATTTATTCTTATTTTTCATTTTTTCACTTGAACCTTCTCCTATATAAACATATTATTTATTTACTTATACGCACACATAAAGGGAATAAAGAAGTACTTTTCCTAGAAGTGAAAGTTGATCATCAAGGCGATGGTAATTCAATTCCGGTCCTGAGTCAGGTGGTGGCAAACTAGTAATAACCTGCATCAAGTGACAAACACCACCCATCACCCCACTATTGCATATTGTTATCTCATAGATGACACAGCTCTTTGAGCAACAATATGTACAGGAACCCTAAAATAAGATACAAAATAAGATTACATACTAAATATTAGTTGAAGGGTAGATTAGTACCTTAAAGCTATACCCTTGATCAATCAAGAATTGCTGTCTTTTAGTTGAATAATACATTTCCTGAAGTATTACAGCATGAAGGGACCTAGGTCAATATATAGCTGTACATTCTAATACGTATATAAACACTACAAAGTAGGAAAAGAAAATTCGAATTGAAGTTGATAACCTGTGTATCTGTTGATACAAGAGAGTAAAAGAAAGCATTATACTCTTCTTTACCACCGGCCATCCTGTCTTGAAGACGTCCCTATTAAACCAGTAACGCTTTAAGCAATTACAAGAGAGTAAAAGAAAGCATTATACTCTTCTTTACACACTAACTGCTTTTAACTTGTGTTTGATGCTAAACTTTGTAATACACAGAATGTTTTTCTAGTCCTTCTCCCTCATTTTTAAACATGCAAATTTGAGTGGATTATTTTGCTATACACATGGGCACAATTTTTTGGATAACCTAATTCTCCCAGGAGTCCCAGGTTGACACTACTCTTTTCAAATCCATCGCACATATAACCTTGAAATAAGAATTCCACTGCAAGTTGCATACAAAACAGCAGTTTTTCTGATGCATCCAGCAGCAGTTGTGTGTAAAAGCATAAAAGTCGGAAAACGGATTAAACACTTTGCATAAAGATGTTAGAGAACCAAAATTTGCAATCTCTACACCAAACGGCATTTGTTTCAGCATTCTAAACAATTACCATCACTGTTTAATGACCTTTAAAGCCCAACATTGGGTTACAGAGTACCAGGTTTTCAAAAAATGAAGTGGTCTTTAAAGCAGTGACATAGATAAATCAAAACGGATTAAACACTTCGCATAAAGATGTTAGAGAACCAAAATTTGCAATCTCTACACCAAACGGCATTTTTTTCAGCATTCTAAACAATTACCATCACTGTTTAATGACCTTTAAAGCCCAACATTGGGTTACAGAGTACCAGGTTTTCAAAATATGAAGTGGTCTTTAAACCAGTGACATAAATAAATCAAATGCATGCTAACAAAGCGGGGGGGGGGGGGGGGGGGGAGGGGAGGGATGAAACCTTACTTTTTGCTTGTGACAAACAATGGTAAATAGGATTACAAGCTTAAAATATGAAACAAAGTTTTATAATATATCACCCACCTCTACTTTTAGAATGCAGGTCACAGCAATCCAACATTATATGTGCATTATAAAGAACATTGCTTATAAGTTTAAAAGCGTTTCAAATGAATACCAATGTGGATCATATGGTTGAAATATGGTCAATAGCCCTGGCCCTATAGGCCAATACGCAGGCCGATCCTAAACAATATGCACCCTACATTATTCTTAGTACAGCTGACATTTTTTATTTTCCAGTTTTACATTTGCTTCTGCCTATCTGGAACGCATTGGCTATTAACCATCCACTAGGCCATTGACCTTCAGTTTCAACATGATCCTTTTTCAAATTAAGGCTACCATATTGCTCAGTACTTAAACGTAGACTCATGGGTAGTAGAACCATTAAGAAGCTGCTGTCTTCATAGACCATGGGCATTCAATTCCAAGACTTCTAGAGTTTATTTCTCAATGGCTTTAGAGTTCCGATAATGTAGTGATCATTTTTCAAATTTAAAGGGGAAGGGTTCTGTTGTTAAAGGGAGTGTTTGCTAAAACTTTACTATTAAGTACTTTCTCCAAAATCACTTAAAAAATCACATTTTTGAAGTAGAAGCAATTGCAAACACTCCCGAATTCCGTTACTGCAACATTCACCATTGCCTCTTTTGCCACATGATACACGTCGTTTTGGTCGTGTGTACCAAAGGCGCATAACAGGGGCCTAGTTATTTAATTGTCCAGAAGCTTTCCTAATTATTTCCCTTTAGTTATTCTAGTTGTTTCCTTTTATTCTACTTTCCTAATCATAGTTGTTTCCATTTATTTAGCCTTCCTTATTTTAGGCAGTCTCTTATAATGAGTCTGTAATAGTTTAGATTTGTTTCCCAATATTATTTAGGAACCTTATTTCAGCCTATATAAGGCTTATCAATTTAAATAAAGTATTAAGTTTGGATTAATTAATCTCTTGATTTACTGGTGGAGCCAGAAATCACCTTCCTTGCCCAGGGCAGGAAGTTAGGGTTTTTTATTCCAACATCATAGCTTCAGATCCTGTCTTTCATTATCAACGGCCTTGGACGAGATCCTGTACCAGGGCCCTTAACACCACATTGGTATGATGTTTGTGTTTAGCTCCACCAGTGATACTTTCATCTTCATTATGAGGGTCACGCGTAATAGCATGACTTCCAAAGCTATTAATATTAGACACTTCTAGTCGTGTCTGATTTGTATGTCTACATTTCAGTTTAGGTTCAAGCAACATGAAATTTTTGCATTCAAGCTAGGAAATTCCAAACTGTAGCCCTTTAACTTATTATGGAAACACACATAAGAATGCATATGAATATATAAGAATGCATATGAATATATCTCTCTATGTCTCTCTCAGGATGCCCCAAAATCTTTTGGGAATAAGGCTTGGATGATGATGTTGTTGTTGTTGTCTCTCAGGATGAATGCACTGTACATTTTTCTTTCTGGTTTCTATATATTTCCTCCTGCCTAACTGACACGTGACGAGTGATGGCATTCCACTACCAGGCAAAACATTCAATCCACCAATTTCAATACAGACAGGATAAAAGGTCATATTGATCTGCTGCAATAATGTAACAATACAAGAAGCAAACCTTAGCCCTAAGAATACGACCAAGACGTTGGGCTTCTTGTCGTCTTGAACCAGCATGAGATGAAATCTGTATTATAACATTTGCTTCGGGAATGTCTATGGAATTATCACCTACCTGTCAATGACGGAAGCCATTTAATTAAATGGCAATCGAGATAAGGCGAAAGAGGGTTTCTATTAGAAAACGGCAATGATGAGATGATCCAATAAAAAATGGCATTTAATCTGGCACGTTTGGTTTGACATATCTGGCACCCAAAATGGATTAGATGTGATATCCATTCCATGAAATGCACTGCTGACTAAGCAAGATGAGCTCAGATTTGATCATACAACTGCACCATCATGAAACCTAACAATGAAGGTGTCAACCCTAGCGATGGACCATTTACTGTCTGAGTTGAAGAAGAGAGAGAGAGAGAGACTTTGTCTAATCTCACAATATTTATGACTCAGAACTATCATTTGTATTGCTATTAAATAATGCTATATAAACAGATTGTGAGTGCCATTACAGGGATGCAGCCAAATCCTACAATAGATCTAAATATATTCAAACTTCTAACAGAACAACAAACTAATATATCTATCATCTGCTCTACTAATAATAATACTAATAGTTATGCCTTCATTGTGTCTCAAAATTATATATCTATTTTCCATCACTCATCACTTCACAAAACCCCATTGAGCAAAAGCTAGTCAAGGTGTCTCAATACTCAAACACTAGCAAAGCCCCAAAATTACACAGGATAAAGGGAATATAATATTCTAAGGCATACCTTAGAAAGGAAAATGGTGTTCACTTCCTTGCTAGTTTTAAATTTCTCAAGAATGTTCATTCTTTCTGAGTGGCTGCTTGTAAAAAGCTGTTGTTAGAATTCATTTAATTGAACAATCAACAGCTTTGACTTTTGAATTGTTAAGTATCAATTGACCTCGTAGCACCATATATCATAGGTTTCCGAAGCTTCATTGCATATTCTGTGAGGGCAAACAGATTGTCAGCAAAAACAATTATCTTATCCCCACGCTGTTGTTCATGGAAGCGGATAAGAAACTCGCAGGCTCTGAATTTGTTTGGATTCATCACATAAAGTGCCTGGAATATAAATTGGTTCAGGAATTAATAAGAACCTTGATAGACAAAAAGAAAATTTAGCTTTACTAAGAATGACTTGATATCCTAAAAATTATTTCTTGATCTGTGTGAAACCACAAAAAGGCTTTTCGTTGTGAGATGGATGGAGTAGTTATATATTCACATACATATACCACATAATTACTTCAAGTACCTGCAAAATTGAATTATTAAGAGAAAACTGTCAAATAGGCCCTCGAAGTATACCAAAAAAGTCAATTAAGCCCTCGAACTAAAGAAACACCCAATTAAGTCTATGAACTATACAAAAACATTCAATTTCCTGATCTAGTCGGTTGATTCTCGGTTAACCGGTTTATGTGGCATCCAAATGTCTTTTTTTGACTTTTTCTTCTTTTCTTTATATCTTTTGGGACTAAGGCTTGGATGTTGTTGTTTTCTTCTTTTCTTTCTTTCCTTTACCTTCTCTTTCCCTGTTTTTTCTTCCCGGCCACCTCCCCCTTCATCTCCCCTTTCATCGTCGCACCCAGACCATCTCCAATTCCCCATTTTTTTCTTCTAACCCAAACTTTTTCGCTCTCCTATACGTCTGCTTCTACCTGAGCCCTGCTTCTCTCCCCTACCGATCCCTCTTCTTTTCTTTTTCCTTCCTTTCTTTCCTCTCTTTTCTCTCCAGTCTTCTTCCCACCCCAAATTCTCCGCCATTTTGGAACTCTTCTACGCCATTTTCTAGCCATTTTCTACGAACATTTTCTTTCTTCTTCTTCCATGTGTGGAACTCTGATGAGAAGCGCGGCTATTGCGGTGGAGCTCTTTAGCTCCTGATGCAACGTCGTTGGAGCCGGTCTTTGTTGGCGGCGGCGAGAATTAGCTCGAGAAGGTGACCAAGGGTGACAGCAATTGACGACCTCGAACCGGGGAGAAGAAAGAAGAAGAAATCGATGGTGGATTCCGGATGACCAATCTGCTCAAACCAGGCAGGAGAAAGAAAGGGGTGTAGACGTCGGAGATGACGGGGAAGAAAGAAGTAGAGGGAGAACGGGGCAGAAGAAGAAAGTGACAAGAGGAGACGAGCTCGAATTTCCGGCGAACACCTCCGGCACGCACCTCCGTCGAACACCTCCGGCGAAAGGAACAACTAACGAGGATGACAAGGAAGAAACAGAGGATAAAGAAAAAAGCAAAGGGAGAGAAGAGAAATGGCTGGCGGAAGAGAAAGAAAGAAGAAAGTACGTAACCGGAGAAGTGTCTGGCAAAGAACAAAGTTGCAGGAGGAAAGAAGAAGGAAAGAATAAAAAAAGAAGGAAAAAAAAAAGAAAAAACTTAAAAATATACACTTGGACTGCCACGTCACCTATGTAACCAGATGACCGAACCTTTACCTGCTAAATTAGAAATGTGATTGTTTTTGTAAAGTTGATGGACTTGATTGAGTGTTATTTTAGTTTGAGGGCTTACTTGACTTTTTAAATATACCAGGAGAGCTTATTTGACAGTTTTCCCAATTATTAAATGTCTCTTAATAAAACTCTAGAAATATTGAATTCTAAATAAATTGTAAGTAATCTACATTTAATTTATGACTTAACAATTTTTAATGAATTTTCCTTAAGAGTACACAACCGCACCCAAAAACCATCCCAAACCAAACAGAAAGTTGGTGCATGACATGACATGTTTTATCCATTTTTTAGAAGGTAAAAGTGTGGAAGGGACAAATACAATTGATACTTATACCGAGTACCCCTAGTAATGTACTTGGTACACTGCTTATAACCAATATCCATCCCATCTCATGCACAGCCCTACTAGTGTCATTGTAAAAACAGATAACTTCCCCAACCAAAGAAAAGAAAGAAACTATCTACTATCTACTCATAGAAATCCAACAGACATGGCAAGGTTAAAGTATTAGGCATGGAGAAGTTATAAACACTCCAAACCTGCTTCTTCTTAGAGTTTTCCTTCTTCAAATATTCAGCGAAAAATTCTTTTGTCATTGGACACCAGACCTCAGCACACTGCACATTTGCAATAAATCCCCCTTTCACTAGGTCCAACCAATTCGCCTCATACAACTTGGGTCCAATAAGAAAGTTGAGATCGGTGATTCTTTCATCCTCTCTGACAAGTGTTGCTGTAGGGCAAAATAACCTCAATAATTTTTTACCTAAATCAGTTTATATGATAGCTAATCAAGCATGAAAGCCTAGATCGCCTGTACCAGTGAGTCCGAGTTTGCAGTGAGATTTAGTAATGCTGATAACTTTTCGAAACATATGAGCTGGAACCACATGGACCTAAAACAATTTCAAAGAGAGTGGAATACATTATCATATGAAGTGTGCATTTCAAATATTTAACCAGCTTAACTGAAAAATTCTACAATCTTTTGTATCCACCAGCAAGGCACTGTATCTGATGATAGATCTCATGAATGTCACATTTTATAGGAAAGATGTCCAGTTACTATGACTATGTTTTACCTCATCCATAAGGAGTAAACCCCACTCTCTGTTTCTTATTTCTTCTATGATCTTTTCAGATTCTTCAGAACGCTTTCCACCAAAAGCTACCATGTTATATGTCGTCACGACAACACCAGCATTACCACGGAACCGCTCTTTGCTATCAGATGTGAAACGACATATCTGTTCTTCTCGAATTGTTGACCACAACTTGAACTGGAAAGCCCATTGATCTACAGACACAGCATTAGTTGCTAAACAAAGACAGCTTTTTTTAATTCTGGATGCAGCGGACACTCCTACTAAAGACTTCCCAGCACCGCAAGGTAGCACAATGATACCTGATCTAGCTCTACCTGAAATTTTAGGCATACAATTTGACTGATCAGAGAACACCGAACTGCTTAACTCTCATTATTCTAGCTGGGGGGGATGAAAACTGAGTTCTGCAATAAATCGTCAGTCTCCAAGTAGAATTACAGACAAACATTCCACAGCTAAACTTATACATCAAATCATTTCCTATATGACAGAATGGCCACTGAGCTTACTGGTTATTAAGTATGCACCAAATCCATACCTTATCAAAGAAGGATTGTTATCTATAGACCTCAATCCAAAGAATAAGTCATCCCTCTTACTTAAGTGGATGAAACCTTCTTCACAATTTAACTTAAAAGTGAACGCAGCATTTTTTTAATCTCCCAGCAGGAGGTGCAATAATGCGTAATCATCTTATCCCATCAGTTTGCTCTCTCTTTTCACTTAATAGCTCACCCAGTCTTACGTGCAGAAGTCACAGTGATATCCTATATTCCTATGCATTCACCTGGGCTATAAAAGCAGGATTCTCCCACTTTACGGTTGAATCAAATTCCATGTCAGCTATTCAGACTTTAAAGAAGTCTAATGGCAATACAGATGTGGAAATTTAAAGCTTAATTCATGACCCTCAAGATCTTCAATCCAAATATCACCTCACTTCAATGAGTCAATCACTGCTATAGAGAGGCAAACCAAGTTACTCATTTTTTAGCTTCACCGGAATCTTCTACTCCCTTGGTTATCTTTGACTAATCAAATCTGCTATCCCTCTCTCAGGGTGCCTATACTTTGGATTTCAACGACACCCATAAGATTTTCTCAAGCCTTCTTTATTTTTTATTTTTGTCTTTCTTTATGTCTTTCTTTATGCACGGTGTCTTATGATGCTTTATGCACCTTGTAATTGACAAGCATATACGACTAAGAAAATCATATAGGCAAAACATTCTTACCATTTCCAAACATTTTACTCAGACTTTTTTCTTGATATGGTCTTGGTTGTGCATGCGGTTTCAACTCCATATCAAGATCAGGATTGACCTGAAACAATGTGGAGAATCAGGAATGGAGTGTGTGTATATAAATAGATATGTGCAATTGTGTGTGTGGGTGCGTGCGTGTGCCTGCGAGCACACACATGTATATGGAAACGATTTCAATAGGTTCCACCCGGGGAGAGTATTTTTTAACTAAAACTTGAATACTCTATTTTAGGCACTCTAAATAGGCCTTAGAATAAGCACAACCATTTGATCTTAAATCCATGACTGAGATTCAGTCTATATAGATAGGTACTTTCTTTGTTAGGAACCACATGAAAGCACCCACCCGTAGAGTCTGAATCTCAACTGTACACACACATACAATGAGATAAAGGAGATATGTTTTAACTTTTCTGCTGTTCTTACTAAAGAGAATTGAGGGAAAACTCACTGTATCATTTCTAAAGTCATACTCCTCCAGCATGGGATAATTCAAGGCATTTGGCAAGCAACGCTGCTTCACATTTTCAACCTGCCATACAGAATTTAGAACGTTCTCTGTCAAAACGCATAAAAAGATATATCTCTACAATATTTTGTTTTGCGTGTAAATGGAAAAATGATTTTCATATCACTACGATGCACCTTATCTATACAAAGTTTTAGCAATAAAAAGGAGAAAGAAGCATGAATGTACATATCCATATTCAGTGATGAGGGTATACTTGGTAAGATCTGGATATAACCCTCAAACTTATTCCCTAGCACCTTGTAAGGTTATATACATGCAACATGAGACACCCATTAAAGTAGAGTAAATAAAAAACGCATAAATCGTGTTAAAAGTCTCTCTGCAAACTTATTCTATCCATCTCCCCTCTAAAGGTCTCTAAAAAGGCATTTAAAGCCTCGGTACATTTTGCGTATGTGAAAAACATGTGAGCGTTGATGCGGCTTGAGATGTAAGACTCAAACTTGATATCTCGTAAATGTTGAAAGTTTAAGGTATATATCGACACATAAATCAAATAACTTAGAAAACATGTTATTGGATTAAAATGCCATAAGCCACTCTTCCTCATTCAGTGGCTCGCTCCAAGTGACACTCTGTTGGGTAACCAGCTACTAACAGAGTAATTCAAGCAAGAATTTAGGAACAAAAGGTATAAACAGTCTCAAGAAAGAAGTTTATTAGCAGAAATGAGAGAGAAAGTATCCGGCAGTTAAAGAGAGTCACTCTCGAAGTCCCACCCTAACCGGAATAATACCAGCCTCTTCTGTATTACCATAGTTCTCAATTTATAATAGTCCCTCCAACCCTTTATACAGTTCGCAGCTACTTATTATTCCCCTTTCTTCTAGAATACACTTTATCATAATAGCTAACACTATTATTATTATTAATGAACTGTCTTCCTGTTAGGGACCCGGTAGAATAAGAGTAAATAAGAAATGTAATAGATAGAGTAGTATAAATAGAAGGGGAGTGGGCAATAAAGAGTAGGCTTTTGGACTCTTTGTCTTGGGACTTGGGAAGACTGAGACTAATAATCTCTTTCTTTGGGAGCTTCGGCTTTTGGGGGCTTCGGCCATAGTTTCTTGTACTTGTTCTTAATCAATAAAGTTTCAGATTGTTTGTTTGATACTTTCAGAGATTCAACTGTATATTTGAGCTGGTTCTATCATTGGTATCAGAGAAAATGATCTTGTTACCTGTAGTCCTGTACAGGAACGATGGAAGATTGGAGGCTGTTTTGGGAAAAAATGCGCGAAGATACCAGGCGTTTGTGCGAAAGGATACGCAAAATAAGCCCGCAAAGAAACAATCGGCACTCGCAGAAAGAGTCGCGAACTAATTTGCACTCGCAGCAGTTGCAGAAAGAGTCGCGAAAGAAGCCGCGCGAAGAAGTGGGGAAGCTCGCGGAAAAGGATAAGCGAGGAAAAATGGAGAAAGAGAAACGCTCAACCCTAGAAAAGGAAAAGCGCTCAAACATGGAGAAGGAGAAGAGCTCAAAACCAGAGAAAGAGAAGTCCTCAAACCTGGAGAAGGGGAAGCCCAAGCTGCGACAAAAATGTCATAGGCGAGGACGGTCAAGGACTGTGCGTCGCTGCTTGAATTCGAAAAGCAAATACCCTTCTCAGTCACAAGATACTTCTTCCGGTCCTCTGGTTTTGACTAGAGCAGACAAGTCCAGTTCGAAATCTTTATTTGAATTTCCAGAGTCACAGCAGAATTTGGTTATTCAGCAGCACACCTATGGAGAAGAGGAATTCAGTGATAAACCATCAGTTAATCTTGAACCTGAAGATGGAACAGTTGTTGGATTCTCCAGAAGTAAGTTGTTTTCCAAATACGATCTTGACCAGTCAGACCTTGAAACCAATAGGTTCAAGCTTCTTCAGGTATGCGATATTTCTTCTCATCTTGCACAGAAGAGGAACTGGCCAAATGTCTGCAAGACTGATATGATGTATCGCCATTCATCAAACTTTGTGTTGGAAGGATTGAACATCGTTTCTATTGTTGATTTGGTTCTCCAACCATGTCCATTGGGAACTTCTGAAACTGGGTTACTTAAAATCGAGGACATAATTTTAGGGAATTCATGCTTGGAACGAAAGAGATCTAGTCCAGTGGTTCTTAAGGATCGGGTTCATCTTTTTTCTTGGGAATCATATGCCATTATTCAAATTGGGGTAGTGATTTCACATGGAGGTCCTCTAAATTGGAGGGAGGGTGTGAGCAGAGGAAGGCTTGCTATTGCTGACAAAGGGGCTGAAATAGCAGTACCTAATCAGGAATTGATTGCTGAGAAGCATCTTATCACCATGTTTCAAGCAATTTTGAAACCCAAAATTGAAGAGGGACTTTCTAACCATTATAATTCAAGGGATCATCAATACTATTCCCCAGTTGTTTCCTTTGTTCTTGTGAATATGAAGGGAAGGGATCCAAGTACCCTTGATTCCTCTACCAATTTGTGGGTTGGTTTTTTAACAGGAGCACTCAGAATTTCAGATTCTTTAAATGAGAAAACAGTGGAAAATTTTGTGGAACAACATAATGAAGCAAATGAAAAGGTGAAATTAGAACAGGGTTGGAAAATGGTCATGTCGTATAATGGTGATAGATCTGTCTACGTGCAAGAAAACCAATTTTGGAACTTTTACATGGGAGATGAGCTTTCATGTTCTTTAGTTATGAGAACTGCAGCTGGAATTATGCATCTCATTACTTGCTTGCTAAAACCTTTGAGGTTTTCCTTGTCAAATGAGGTAAGTAAAGAATTAAAAGAGGAAGAAGTTGAAAGGTACGTAAAGGAGTTTGCATCCAATACAGTATTAGTTTCAGAGACTGGAAAATATGAGGAGCTGCAGAAAAGTGAAGAAATATTTTTTACTATCAAGTGCTGGAAAGAGACTGAATTGAATGAATCTTCACTGCTGATTTCTTCTGCTACTGAAAGTTCTGAGATCTTAAAAGATCTCGTACGAAAGTCCCTAGTCCATCAACCAGTCAAGTATTGGGAAGGGAGAGACGCAAGGATGAAGAGGAAGCAGAAGATCTTGGCTGCTTCCTATCGCCCACCTTGAGGGCAAGGTGGATATATGTTAGGGACCCGGTAGAATAAGAGTAAATAAGAAATGTAATAGATAGAGTAGTATAAATAGAAGGGGAGTGGGCAATAAAGAGTAGGCTTTTGGACTCTTTGTCTTGGGACTTGGGAAGACTGAGACTAATAATCTCTTTCTTTGGGAGCTTCGGCTTTTGGGGGCTTCGGCCATAGTTTCTTGTACCTGTTCTTAATCAATAAAGTTTCAGATTGTTTGTTTGATACTTTCAGAGATTTAACTGTATATTTGAGCTGGTTCTATCACTTCCAGTGTCTCTAACACACTCACTCTTCCTTGCTCTTCCCGTATTAAAGTCATGCATAGAATCTTTCAATTTTATCTAGCCTTGCAATTTCCTTTGGTCAAGGTACAGTTAATAAAACTCTAGCTCTGCATGAGCAGAAAAAGATGAGTAGTGATTCCACAATAAGATGATGCTTTATGAAAAAGAGATGATCACTTTACAGGTATTCTTTGAAGAAGCCTAAGGAAGATCATTGAATTGGATGTCATACATTAGTGATTTTCTAGCGAGTGTAGTGTTATTAGTGAGTCAAATTTAGTATAAACCTAGTATGCACATAAAGTCCTCAACTGGTTTAATCTTAAACAGTGCTCTCTTTCTCCACATTTTGTTCAAGTTTTGAGGAATCTAAGTATATTTATTCTCTATTTAAATTAAAATAACTGCAAGTTACCTGAGAAGGATCAACTTCAAATGAATGGGTTTCTCTTTCTTCAGTGGCCGCTGCCAGCTCTGCTTCATTTAACAACTCATCATGTCTACCTTCTATTTCGCCTGCAGACTTGCTGATTGTAAATCCATCATTTTCATGAAGCCCCTAAAAATAAAAAAGTCACAACTAGAGATAGTGAAATAATAATAAGAGAGAGTATTTATTTAAAAAGCATCATAAGAGTGACATCATATTAAATATAAAGGCCTCAGTGAAACAGAACCAGTAAATGAAAATGAGAATATGAGATTGTCCATGAACATGATTAACAGTGAACTGTAACAACACAGGAAGTGAAATGGATTATCACGAATTCAATTACCAACGGTCTAATTCAATTCCAAATAAAAGATGGAGAAAATAGCTGCGGTAGCACATCATATACAGTGCAACAGATGAGTGCACAAAAAATTGAACGACTCACCAAAGGCATAAGTCTTGCTCGACCTATAACTTCATCTTGAAGCAGCTTTTTCAATACCTGGGCACATCAAAATCATTCATCCATGAACATCATAATGCAACACAACAAAATGACTGAATCGTTAAGGAAAGCGATAATCTTGCCTCAGTAAAAGGAGATTCAATGAAATACCGATTCTTCTTAAGCACGAGCTTTACTTTTCCATAGTTGGCAGTAGAAGCATGAATAAAATCAATCATTTCTTTCGGAAGCTTAGTTTTTGACAATTTGCTTAAAACAGAAATTATAGTTTCAGTCTCCAAGCCAACCGACACTGCCGCATACAAGGAATGAGGTGTCAAATTGTACTCATGCATAGACTCTGGCCTATATTACAAAATAAACCAATCAGAGTTCAACAAACACAACGACATATGATATTTATACATATAAGCCTGCAATAACATCAGTACAATTGTGCAAAACTGTGGTGGACAGTAGTCACAGTACCTGCAAACAGGTTCAGCGATGGCTATGAGAAAATCATATGCCTGCTTGTATAATGCTGAAAATGTTTCAAGGAAAATCCTTCCATCAGCACAAGCCCACAACGGGCGGTTTCCATGATCTGGTTTGAGTTCAAGTTTAGTGAAATCTCTTTTCTTGCCCTCACCATCTCCTAAATTCAAATCAATTCCATAACCCAAAGTCATTATACACCATCTCTACGAATATATACAACAGCCATAAATATAAAAACTGATCACTGCAAATTTGAATAAACTACCATCCCGAGAATCAGCATTGATGTCTTCTAAGTAATGTGAATCATCTGTTTCTACAGACTTGTGCTCCTCCTGCGTTGTTCCAACGAAATGAGTGCACAAAACTCAAACTTTTATGAACACGTGATCCTATCAAGAATATTGTGCACGTGAGCAAAAACTTAAGAAATTATTAGCACCTTGGAGGCAAACTTGATCTTTTTGCTAGGTCGGCTTTTATCACCTAAAATTGAAAAATGGTATGATTAAAGATATGCATATATAGGCCATAATAATTATGAAACGCGTCTTTCTAATTAATTCAGTTTATTCCGTCATTGATCGGATTCTGTTCTTGTTTTTGTTACTTTTTCAGCATAATTTACCGTGATGGCCCATTGTATCAATGATGGAGAACGATCAACAATTGTTCTATACGTTCTGAGTATCTGATAACAGCCGAGATCTGCAAAGAATTCACTTCACCATCCCCAACTGAATGCGCTCGAAGAGCTACTGTATAGATGGCGATTCCCAAACGCGCGCTTCTAATCCTTTCACTGGGCTTCAGCGGGAGGCTGTTCCAACGGGCCAGTCTATCTGGTCTTCCGCTGCTGAGGGGAGATGCTACAGATGCTGGAATGTCTCTCATGGGCTGCTGTTTCATTTGGGCTTCGCTGCTTGGATGGACAGGGGTGATACGGAAAGGTGTATGGGCCTTTATCGGTCCAGAACCTGGACGTTTGTTTTTTGCTGGATTTTCCCTAGGATGGGCCTTAAGGCCCTGTGTGGTTGGAGGGTTTCGGAGGGAAGGGAAGGAAAGTGGGGGATTTGTGTTTGTTTGGTTGAATGAAATAGGGGGAAGGAGAGGAAAGTGGAAAGCTTTCAAAATCCTCCACTTCCTCCCATTCTAAACCCCCCAATCGGGATATTTCGGAGGACGGATGTTGATAACCACAAACTATCTATCTCCTACGTGAATGAACAAAACGTTATAATATAAAAAGGTAAAAAACAAAAAGTTTTGAACAATTAAAAAAAAGTTAAAAATTTATATATTAAAAAAATTTAAAAATTATAAAATTAAAAATTTTAAAAATTAAAAAATTTAAAAATTATAAATTAAAAATTTTTAAAATTCAAAATAAAAAAATTTAAAAAATAAAAATTAAAAATTAAAAATTCCAAACTGAAAAATGAAAAATTATAAAATTTAAAAAGTTAAAAATCAAATCAAATAAAATTACGACTCATGACCATAGGAGTAATATTCACAATAGTTAGACATGTATCTATTTTTTTAAGTAAGCTATCAAATAAAAGTAAATTGCAAAAATATTTTCATTAAATCTTTCCTCCTATTACCTCCAACCAAACACAAATTTTTATCAAAATCCTTCCTTCCCCTTCCCTTCCCTTCCCTCCTTGACTCTCCCCTTCCCTCCCCTCCTTTGAACCAAACAGGGCCTAATTGGTTCGGATATGGGTTTTTGATGTTTTTCCAAGAATGACACGTGACATTCTTGGACTGTATTTTTGTGATGTATTTTGGACTTTTAAAATCTCTCTCCTCGCTCCCAAACGTATGGTGGAGGTGAGGGAGTGACAATGGATACTATTTTAGGTTAGTATGCTAGCTTACTTTTCTATACATATATTTGTATTTTTATATACACTTACCTTTCATCCAAAAATAATACTCCCTCCATTCCAATTTGATTTGCAAAATTTCTTATTATGGTTGTCCCAAAATGGTTTTCCAATAAGAAGATGTTCTCAACTCATATGAATGTTTCTGATTTCAAAATTTTAAGTTCTAATCTGAATTTTTCTTATCTGGTCTCATATGATTTAATTTTTCTGATCTGATCTCATATGATTTGAATCTTTCTTATATGATCTGAATCCTTCTGATTTGAATCTTTCTAATTTGATCTGATTTGAATATTTCTGATTGAGTGTCTATTGATATTATTGAGTGTTTGATGCATTTTTTACTCGCTCAGATCGTTTTATAACCCGAAAACCATTTCTAAAGGATGCTTGCTAAAAATTAAAAAACAAAACGCTTTTCAGCTTTTGGCTGAAAAGTTGTACTTATAATTCAATAGCTAATGAAGTGGGAGCAAGATTCTACTACATTAATACTAGAGAGTACAACCCTTTTTGGATTAGAAGCGAGGACGCTTGCTTCCCATGTGCCCCTAAGTCCTCCACCGGTAGGGATGACAATTTAATCCGACCTGATGGATACCCGCACCGAATCGAACCGGTCAAAATGGGGAAAACCGTTTTGACTGGGTAACGGGTACGGGGCGGGGAATACCCGATTTATGTAAACGGGTAATGGGGTGGTTATGGGTTTATACCTACCCACCCCGTTACCCGCCCCGTTTAATTTGGATACGGTTACCCGCACCATTACCCGACCCACACAATTAACTTACATATTTTAATAGTTTATGTATTTATTATTTAATATATTAAGTATATATGAATAGTAGTACATTAGTATATGACACTTAATCCTTCTAAGTGTCAAAGTTCACTATTTTAGATTTTTAATTTTTGACATCATTCATCATCCTTCCTTTGTTAATTTCCTTTTTTTGATTAGTTGATCTAATTTATATCAAGTTTTAAATTTAAATTATGAGGTTTCTAAAACAGTAAGTACAAGAATACCTAAATCATAGTATTAGAAGTACATTTTTTAGAAATAATTCCAAATCTATAATCAAAATAAAAGTTGTGGACAAAAATGCGACTCTAGTAACTTTAGTGTTTATAATTTTATTCAAATGTTATATCGTAGTGACTATAAAACTTACACATGGTAACTTATAGTCACATTTATGTCTATATATGTTTTATTAGTAATATTTTAGGAAAAAAACTTCTCATTTTCATTATTTTACTTTTATACATTACTGTTCTTAAATTCAGATGTTGAATGCTGGTGGGGTATGATTATTGAATTTTTTGAAGTTAAATGTTTTTGTGATTCATATTTAGATTTTACTATCGAGACAAGACTTATTCTTTTGATGTTGATGTGATATGAGATTCATAATTTTGAATCTAGACATATATAATTTGTGAATATAAGGTTCAAAGGATTGTAATTTTTTGTGATGTTTTTAAAAAACTTTATCTGGTGCTATTTAATTTTGATTTTTTTAATTTAGGTGGTCAATTATAAGTAGTTAATCATCATTTTAGGATTTACAGTAGGTAACCATGTTTTTTTAATTTGTTAATCATCATTTTAGAATTATAAGTAGGTTTTTAAAAAACTTTATACTAATCATCGCGAGAAATTTGAAGAAAAAAAATATCTTTTATTAAAATGGTTACCCGCGGGGAAACCGTTACCCGCGAATAAAAAATACCCGACGTGTAACGGGGCGGTTTCGGGGAAAATTATTATCAAACAGGGCGGGTACGGGTAATGGTATACCCGATCCCGAACCGCCCCGTTGCCATCCCTACCCACTGGCAATACTGCTTCCATATTATTTTATTTGCAACATTATATTTTTGACAAAAAAATGGATTATTATATTATTGTAGTCAATGAATAAGAACGGATGTTAAAACTTCGGGGGTGCCTCCGACACAAATTTTAAATGATTTTAAAGGATTGCAGATTCCATGAATTTTAATAGAAATCTATATATTCCATGCAATTCATATGGAACTCTATTTCATAGAATCATATGGATTCCAATGGAATTGAATAGATTTTAGGGAAAAGCATTTTCCCGCTCATTTGATATTCTCATCAAAATCGCAATTCGTCCATTAGATCCATGGTTGACAAAATCCACAAATAGAGCCGTCAAAATGGGCTGGAACCCGCGGGCTGGCCCGTTTAAACACATTTATTGGTGGGTTAAGATTGAGAACTTTTGACCCATTTAGTTCGCGAGTTTCGCGGGTCAACCCACACGGGTTGTGGGTTTATGTGGGTTGGCCACCAGGTTGTGGGTTGGCCCGCGGACCAAAATACAAAAATATAGTTTTGAATTTTATTGTCTTATATATTGTCCTTTTACTACGAATATTATTATAATTACAAATAAAAAGTTACAACCATGGCAAAACAATATTTATTTATATAATAAATATTCAAATAAAATGTTGAAACGTACATACAATATTTAAAAATTAATTATTAGTCATTTTTTACAAATAATTAATCAAAAGGTTCATGTAGATCTTTATTTTTATAGAATGAGTATTTTTGTCGCATACCCTCTTATAGTTTTCAAATTCTCGTATAACTAGTATTTAATATTTTCTAATTAAAGTTAACAAGTATTGAATTTTTAGTATTTTGATTTCTTATATTTCCTTAGTTACTACTTACGAATATAAATATATACTTCCGGGTAATTATTTTTATTTTTTTTGTTATATATATATTTTACATTATTGGCCCGCGGGCCAACCCGTTTAAGCCACAGGTTAGGTGGGTTGGGTTAGGGTTGTAGAAATTCTGGCCCGTCGTTAAACGGGTTGGCCCGACCCAACTCACATAGAGCATAACCCGTTACGGGTCGGGTCGGGTCGGGTTGAGTCGGGTTGGCCCGTTTGACAGCTCTGTCCACAAGTCTCACATCCATTGTCCCTAAGAAAATCAAGCTCTTTCATCCCTCGAGCAATCCAACTCAACCTTCTATTCTCTTCATCGAGGATTATGAATGCTCTCCGACCAAGGTTAGCAAACAAAAGACTGTATGTATTGGTTTCACATAGAGAAGTGTATACTTAGTATGTGTTTGATCGCCAAAGGGGAGCTTGGAAGATGAAAAAACACATGTTGATGACGGACTGATGCGATGATTGTCTTGTGCGATGATATGTTCTTGCCTAAGAGTAGTGTGTCTACCAATTTCACCATAGTGGCATGTTATTAACTTTCACTCATATCTTTCACCCCATTTATGGAATTTATCGAAACAACAATTCGAGTGATGGGGAAAGACTATTTTTTTAAATAATGGATTTGGAAATCTAAGGGGGTTGGTCATACTCCCTCCGTCCCGTTGGAATGTTCCCGTTTTCCTTTTTGGATGTTCTGTTGAAAAGTTCCCATTTCCCTAAATGGAAAGTTATACTACATCAAAACAAAATCAAACAGTGCAAAACAGTGTCAAACACTGTCGAAACAATGCCAAACAGTGTCAATACAGTAAAATTTACCCCCTAATAAATTTATTTCCTTAATATGTGTGTAGGTCAAACCGAGAACATTCCAACGGGACGGAGAGAGTATGTAAGAATTTGACATGAATTTTAATTAGAAATTGCCCTGAATAGGATTAAAATCGTTTTGAAATTCCAAAACATGACCTTCATGTTTTTATTCCCTAAATAGAAGTAATTTATGCCATGTTTGGAAAACACTTGGCATAAACCGCCATGTTTAAAACCCGATAATGCCAAATTTGACATAAATTATTCCTATGTAAGGAATAAAAAAATGAAAATCATATTTTGGAATTTGTTTTTTTACTTCTATTCAGGGAATTTTCACAATTTTAATAGATTTTATGAAAATCTAAGTTAAGGATATGCAGATTTTGATGAAATTATTAACTTCATTAAATATTTATAAGCAATAAAAATATAGAATTTTTTTATCCTTTGATCTCCTAATATAATTTCTTAAGTCCCGCCTCTCCTAAACTGTCATTCCTTACTCCGCCACCGCAGACAGTATCTAAACAGTACCAAACAATACCATTTTCTTAAATTGTGTAAAAGTCAAACATAAGCTTTTAAATTGGGACCATGTTATTCTACTTCATGAATAAGGATGTTTTCTTTTGAATTGTAATTTGTTAATCTGGTATGATTTAATATGATATGTTTATGTCTGGTCTGGTCTGGACTAGCGTGGTCTGGTCTAATAATATTTGTTCTCTGTGTATTTTATAACTATCCAAATATGATCTCGTCTGTTTAATTCTGATCTGGTATGTGAAAACATCCCATGAACCAATGTTAATTCCATCTTAAGACCGGACGAAATATATTACAGTACCTTCTTCCTTGGTTACTCCAATTGTATTCAACACAATTCACAAATTCTTCTCACTGCGTAATCCTTCTTTTATTTTGATCCTCCAAAAACATGCCTAAAAATTGTTTGGCAGGGAACAAAAGCATCGCACATTTGACGTTTAGATCGGGGTATACAGTACTGTAGTGGACTTTTCCCCCTTTTCCCGACCTACCATGTCGAATATATTTCAAATCAAATCTTTATATAAATAAAAATCCAAAATTTACCTGTACTCTTGCCGTGCTTTAGAGGATAAAATCTTTCGGATGCCTTTTGTACGGAGCAGATCGGAGCAGACGGGTAAAAAGGAAAATGAATTCACCGGACACGCCAAACCTTACTCGTGTGAAGAAGAATCACAACAGCTCGCTGCTGCATCCGGCCCGACTCGTCGACCCGGAAGCCGAGCCCGATTATATGAAGCAAAAAGAGTCAAAAGCGGTGACCGGTCTACCCGGTCTCCCTTTCACTCTCTCTCATACAAGCAGGTCGTTTCTATTCTAATGGCAGTTGGCAAGCATTTAGTGTATGCTCTCCCTCTCCCTGCCTCTGTGTAGTGTATATATCTACATGTATATACTAACACTCTTCTCATTTCAAAATTCTTGCAATATTCTCACAGATGAGTAGCATTTCAGCGTAATCTCGCTGCAAAACTGGAATTTTCGGCAACTGAGTCCCCTGTTTCTACTGTAATCTCACTCTGAGAGAAGACGCATTTCGTCTCCCTGCTCTCTAGCGTCGTTTATGTGTTCACACTACCTTTATCGAGGTACATACACATTCCGGCTAATTCGGCATTACTTTATTGATCTTCACGTTTGGATTGCGAGGGGTGTTTGAATTTGTATCATTTGATGATATGAAAAGCACAAGCTCCGATTTTTTTTTGCTTTCTTAGTTTTTTCTTCACCCGAATTACATTCGGATGCTAATTTGGCTTGTTAAGAATTGGAATTGACAGAATTTTCTGAGTTTCCGGTTTGCAGTGCTACGCACGCGCGCCTGCATGATTATACTTGGTTCTACCAAATGTTTTTGCAAGCCAATCACGACTTAATTAAAGGTTTATGAAACATAACATATTTAATTTTCATTTAGTAGTGATTTAGTAGAAGTTAGGGCTGTGAAATTGTTAATTTAAGTTTAAGGGGCAGTGATTAAGAAAGCGTGATGAAAAAATAGAGTGATGGGTATTCATCTTTAAATTATCTTACTTTAGGTTACTTTTTACTTTTTGTTGCTTTGGAGTTCAAATTTCTGCTTGTATCTGTGCATCCATGTATATGGGTTCATAATTATTGTAACTTAGTTGATGAAGGATGATGTACTTGTCATTTATTGCAACCAAACTTTGTTCGTGATTCCCTTGCATTTATGATCAATTATCCTTGTTGGATAGCATTCAACATTCCATTGTAATTTTTATGTCAGTCTGCCAGTTCATGAAAACATTTACAATCTCCTTTAAACACAGCGCACTATCATGCTCTGAACTACTTTTTGGTTCTCTAAATTTGATTTTCAAGAGTTATTTTTTTTAAAAGTTGGCTATTCTGCATACTAAATAGTACAGTACTAGTATAAAGCAGAATTGAAGAAGCTGAAGTGAGTAGGTAGGGCGAATTATGAACTTTTTCAATATCTATTTGTACTAACTACTAATTGGTTATCTGTACGTTTCCAGTCCAAATGCTTTTTTTGGAATCAAGGAAGTAGGAACTAACAAAGATTTCTACTTTTGTAAAATTTCAGCATTTTTTACCGAGTTCAAAGAGTTACATTAGTTGATCCCAGTTGATAATTTGAGTTCATCACCACTGTGAACAAGCCTGTTGTTAGTTGGATTAAGAGTATATATCGCGTTAACGAAATCATGGGGACCGGAATATGTTCTACTCGGGTATTATTACCTTTTTGTGAGGAGAGTGGTGATGAAGAACTGTCTGTTCTTCCAAGGCACACAAAAGTCATTGTGACAGGAAACAATAGAACAAAGAGTGTTCTGCTGGGACTGCAGGGTGTTGTCAAGAAGGCTGTTGGACTAGGCGGTTGGCATTGGCTGGTATTGCTCGTAAACCTTTTGTGTTTCTATGGTTTCCCTGCTTTGCATCTGTTTACCTATTGCATGACTGTGTGTGTATGTGATTCCTTTTTATTAATGCTCTGTTTTTCTCAATCTCGATGCTGCTACCTTATTGACCAATTGGCAGTAAGTGGAGAAGCCCATTTTTCTTTACAAATACATATTTGTATTATTATAGCTTTAGGAAATTTTGATTTCTCTTTTTATTAAAAAAAAGGAAAATGTTGAAATAGGTTACCTTACTGCCTTCCACATGTTATTTCCACATCTAAGCATAGGTGATGGATTTTATTCACGTGACTGACAATGAAATAAAACAAAAAATAATTTGGATTATTTGAAGATTCTTTTTTCCTTTTATCTATTTTTTATTTCACTTTGGATTTGAAGAATAGCCATTTTGTTCCTTTCAGCCATATATTACCCCGTCCCCATTTAAATGTCCTCTTCAATTTGGCACTGGGATCAAGGAAAATAAAAACTGATCCGTTTAGATGTATTTAGAAGAGAGAGGTAAAGGAAAATAATATAGGGATGAAGAGAGTAAAAATTGAGTTTGGGTTTATGATGGATTTAATGTTTTATCTGGTTCTTACCGCTTATTCTGAAGCCTATTTGCCGAGTAACTTGCTAAGTATATTAAGCATTGAAGGTTCTAAAGAATGGTGTTGAAGTGAAGCTCCAAAGGAATGCTTTGAGTGTGCTTGAGGCTCCCACTGGAGATGAAGAAGATAATGATAATGACTTTGATGACTCTAGCAGTGGTTCTGAAGTTGGTGAAAAAGCCAATCATCATTTTTGTAAGCTGTCACTTTGTTGTGGACGTTTCCCATGTAACAAGTTTTGCCTCAATTACTTTGTTTTTAAATGGCTTTACCCTTTTCTTCTTTGTTTAGCAACTGGTGGTGTTGAGTATAGAAAGGTTAGCCAGTCAAGGGTTCGTTACACTCGGCCGTGGGTTCCGCCTACATCTGCAAAATCAATCAGCCGTTGTAGCAACAAAGGTGTCGAAACTAAATATTGTCGTGTGTATCAACAGGTAACTATAATACTAAGAGAATTAATTACATGAAGTATGCGGTGTTGATCTATGTTTATCATTTTAAATTGTTTTTTGTGTGGACATAAATGAATTAATTCTACTAGTTCATATGTTTTTACTGATGGAATGAAATCATCAGAGAGTGAACTTCGCAAAAGTAGGAACCAGCTCATTGTGGAGATATTGGCGACACTACAACCTCGTAAGTTTCTCTGCTTCCTAGTAAAATTGTTCTATAGGTTAAGCCGTTAAGGTTTTGTACTTTTGCATCTATAAATGACGAACTTATTGTTTTTTATAAATAAAATAGCAAACTGTAAATACTCCTAACCCAACCAAGGCTCAACTGGTCAGTGCCGTCCAGCGGCATTTTGCTTCGCAGGTTTACCGTCTCCCCCTTTCTCGCAATACAAAACTTCCTTGGTATATATCTAACTTGTCATTCCACTATTATGTTATCATTATTGTTGTTGTTGTTGTTGTTTTATTCTCAGCGAGTTGATGAGGTGCAAGTGGTGGTGGAGTTCATCCGCGCGGCAAAGAGACTGAGATCAGCTCACCTGCACTGAGATTGATTGGGTTAAGACTCGTGTGATTGGATTCAATAACATATTTATGTAAGCATGTATATATAATGTAAATACGTCTAAACACTAACTTAGTTTTCTCTAGCTAATCTTAAACCTGGTAAGCACTAATGAAGATGGAGTGGCTGTGCAGTGGGAGCTTCTTTACCACTTCACTCCCATAGTCCCCCATCTCCTCTCTCGGACACTAACCTTGTATTAATATCTTCTGCATTTGACTCAGCTTGTCTAGTATATATAACCCTTCTATGTCTTCTTATCTTTAATATATAACCCTTATTCTCTTTGCAATAGATATGGATGCACCCGGGTCGGTCATGGTTCCGGGCTGAGACTGCCCGGTCCAAAAAAATTGGTTTGGTTCGGGTCAGAACCGCTTTTTTCTGGGTCTGGGCTGGTTCCGGGTATCCGGCTGTTATTTTTTTTCTTTTTTGGCAAGACTGAAGCCTAAAAAAGGAATCCAGGTCGGGATGGAAACCAAGATTGGAACCGCCCGGTTCGGTCCCCAAAACTGTCAAAATAAATGTCATCTAGTGTTTAGGTAGTCGAGACGAAATCGGGCAAGAACGTTGGGTCGTTGGGCATTGATCATTTGATTGCTTGTTTATAGTGTATTTGTTTTTAAAAATTCACTTTAATCAAGTTAAATATATATTTGCATATTACATGGTTAACGACTTTTGAGGCCCGTTATGAGTGTCTAAATCTACTCATTGAGCTTTTGTCTAAGGCTAGTCCTTTTTTTGATTTGATTGTAATGATGTTTGGTTTGGTAATTTGAAGGTAAATGATTTCCATCCAATATAATTCACTAAGAGTGTGTTTGATAAACGGCCCATTAGTCATTTTTTTGACTCTTGAATATGTGAAACAGCTATTCCATTTGTCCCATAATTTTTTTTTTGGTTTGACTTGGATGAAGTTTAAGGGGAATGATGAGATTAAGGGAGGTGTCTTCAATAATGATTTGAATGGATTTTTAAAGATTGTGGATTTCATGGATTTTCATGGAATTTTACAGATTTTACAAGACTCTTCTAGAATAGGGATGGACCCGGGCCGGTCCGGTTCCAGGTCCGGGCGTCGGGCGGGCTTTTTTTTGCAAATTCTTGGGCCCGGAACCGGCCCAGGTTGATATCGAGTCCGGGCCTAACCGGGTCGGGTCGGGCCCGGTTCAATGTCTATTTTTTTTTGATTTCTTGTTATCCCCCGACCCCCCACCCTCACCCCACCCTCAAACCTCCCCATAACACCCAGCTCTACCCTAGGAAAAGAAAAAAAATTGAAAAACAAAAAAAATGACCCGAGCCCGGCCTGAACCGGTCCTGAGCCCGGCCCGCCTGACCCGCCCAAACGGGTTAAAAGCTCGGAACCGGCCAACCGGTCCTGGTCCGGTCCGGGCCCGCATAGTAGCGGGCCGGCCCGGTTTAGTCCATCCCTATTCTAGAATCCTATGAATTTCCATATGGCAGAATTATATGGATTTCTGTGGATTTAGTTCCTTGATTTGGACGTGCACGGTGCACCGCGTGAACTTCCTTTCACCAAAAACCAGATCCTTCCCGTAGGAGTACATGAGTGATGAGTGATGTGATGACTTCCTTGGCTTGCAGCGACGAGCTGACGACAACCACGACAACCACTGGTCAGCATCGACATCGCCTCCTTGTCTGGTTAGAGACCAACGTTGCAGACGCCCGCTTAATCGTCGCCTCCATCTCAAATGGAAATTTCAGATAGCTACCATCACCCCGTTTGTCGTCCATGAAGAGTATAGTCAGCGACGGAGACTCACCTACGTCTTCCTCCCTTTCGGTGGAAGTAGCGGTCAATTCCTAACAACTATGGCGCAAGAAGAAGAGGAGATAAAAGAAATGGAGAAGTGCGCGATGGCTTCCGGATTTGAAATCCAAGGGGGTCGATGGGATTGTGCGTGGAATGGTTTGTGCGTTAATTTGTATATGAAATCCATCAAAATCAGCTCAAATCAATAATATTAAAAATCCATGGGATGGTCGGGGATAACTAGATTTCAAGAGTATAAAAATCTATTTTGAGGACACCTAAATTGTCATGGAATTCGAAGTTCCTTTCAAATCCAAATTGGGGACAGCCCAGTAAATTGCAGGGCATGTTATACATGTATGATTGTGGTTGAGTAAGAAAAAAAGTAAATGAAAGTTAGTCAAACAAAACTTTTCAAAAAGGGGAATGAGAAGAATTTTTTGAGACATCCTAAAAAGATAAATGAGAAGAATTTTAAGGGACGAATAGAGTATTTAAGTATTTGCCTATTTGGTAAACTGTAAACGGATTTTTGATTGACTATTTGCTATGAAAAAGTAAAAAATGTAAAGCCACTTCAAGTCATTTTTCCATAACGGTTTTATGATATTATTATTATTATACGTAGTTCATTAGAAGTTTAATATACCCTGCAATTTAATTCACATCATTTATCATTGGGAAAACTGTCAAATCAGTCGATCTACTACGTCGAAAAAGTCAATTGAGTCAACGTACTATTTTTTCAACCAATTAAGTCTATCAAGTTACAAAAAATGACCAATTTTGCCTTTTATCCGGTGACCGACCGGTTTCCTAGCTTGTCAATCTGCCTACATGGACATCCACGTGGCTTTTTTTGCCTTGAAAACGCTGATTTGGCTCGTCCATGTGGCATTCGAGCCTCCTTCTCCTTTTCCCTGCAACTCTTCATCTTTCTCCCCCTTTTCTTCTTTCTTATTCTCTTCGTCTCTTGCTTCTTCTTTATCTTTTCTTTCTTTATACTCTTCTCTTTTTTCTTGCTTCCTCCCTTCTCTACCTCTCCATCTTTCTATGCTGTCAACCCCGTCGAGCTCTGCCGCCGCTGTCACCATCGGCGTCAAGCTCCGCCACCACCTTCCCCGTCGCCGTCTGGTTTCCATCGAAGAAGAGCAAGGGTTTTCGTTGGGTTTCCGCCGGGTTGCCTTCTCTGGGCATGGAATGAAAGAAGGTGGATAGAAGGTTGAGTGGAGAAGAAGAGAAAGAGGAAGAAGAAATGGAAAGAAAAGGGAAAGGAGAAGGGGGCGGGCAAGATTGCAAGAGTGAAGGGAGGAGGAGGTTGAATTGGGTGTGAGTGTGGGGTAGAAGCAGTGGAGAAAAAGATGAGATTGAAGAATAGGGGAGAAGGAGTTGTAGGGAGATTGAAGAAGAAGGGGAAAAAAGAAAAACAGGGAACGAAGAAGGGGGGGTTGCCGGCGGCCGATGAATAAGGGGGACGACGAACCAGAGGAAAAAAGGGAAAAGGAAAGAAAATTAAAAGAGAAAAGAAGGGAAAAAGAAAAGGGAAAAAAAGGAAAAAGTATAAAACAAAAGCTTAGGTGACATCCACGTCAGCAATAAAAAGGGTCACCGGTTGTTTAACGGTCAAATGACAAATTGGTTAAAATTTGAGACTTTGTGTACCCAATTGATTGATAAAATAGTACATGAAATTAATTGACTTTTTAAAGATAGTACGTAGACTAATTTGACAGTTTTTCCTTTATCATTTAATAATTACTACATATTTAAAAACTGATATACAATTACATGTGGTGAGCATGCAGTCATTCTACGTGAATGACTTCAATTTTCTTTTATGGGAAGAATGGAATTCATAATTAGGTGAACTTATTCCATCACCCTACGTTTCAGATTTCTCGTGTGGACAAAAATACTAGAGAATAATGTAGAAAAAACCCAATAATATTACACGTGGGAAAATGATGGATAAAAACGTAACTTAGTAATTTTTATTTATTACAATTTATTTTAGAGGATAAATTCTACAATTTGCAATTACAATTCATTAAATGCGGATTTCCTTCTGAGAATTATTACGATATATGGTCACAAAATTATTAGTAGATAAATAAACAATATAATAATGATTACAATGTTTTATTGAAATTATTAAAACCAATAATCACTCAATTAACATGTTAGTACAACACTAGTTTTCGTTAATGCTACTATTGCAGATTGAGGGATATTCTAAGTTCTAACACCAAGAAAAGTTTAGCACTAAAATATTTGCCCTAAATAGGACTAAAATAATAGGAAAGTTCTTAAATAGGACTACCCCTAATTTAATCCCTAAATAGGACTAAATTAGATAGTATTCCAATTCTACCCTTCTCTCCCTAATCCTATCCGCACAATCTCCTTTGCTGTACTTTTCTTTCCTTCCCCATCCCCTCTCTCCTTCTCCATCACTTTTCTCCTTCCCCATCCCTTATCTTGCATCTACAACCATCATAAATCAAGATCTCTATTTCTATTTTTTCTCCTCTTCAATAATTAGTTCAATTTTGTTCTGCCGATCTCGATTTCTTTATCTCCGATTATTTTCAGTGATATGGACGATGAATATTCCCTTCTCCATTTCCGGCCACCAGTGAGCGGCGAGCGGCGGCAAATGATGAGCGGCCACCAGTGGATGACAACAAGGTATGGTCGAATCTTCTTCTTCTTCCCCCTCTCCTCCTTCATCCTCCTCTTCCATCATCTCAGTTTTTATTATTTGCCAATTTTTTAGTTATTATTTTATTTTGTATTTTTTTTGTTTATTTTGATATTTATTGTTTGATTTTTTCATAATTTTTTAATATGAAATTGACATAATCTATTGAAAATTAATTTCAGAACTATTTTAATTTTTATGGGATTACCTTTACAATATATCTTGTTAATTGAATCTGAAAATGTCACTTCAAGAATGAATGCCATTTTTTGGCACTAACATTACGAAGATGGCAATAGTAGTCATTTTGAAAAACATTAGTGCCATATTTTTAATTTGAAAATGCCATCTTATTTTTATCAGGATCACTAATGTCATTAAGATGGCATTACCACTACAAGATGGCACTTGAGTTGTAGTCATACCAGATTCAAGACCAGATCTAAGATCTAAATTGATTGGCTCACCGGAGGCAGCGGTGCCAGAAATCGTGGTGGCATCTTGTTGTGTCAACGCCGACCACGACTGCAGCGGCAATTGAAGGCGGCGGCGATTGACGGCGGCGGCAACTTGTCTAGGCGGTGGTTGGTGTCGGCGTCCCTTGGAGTCTATCTCCTGGCGTTGGTTGTGTGAGAGGAGAGCGGAGCAGTGGATTACAGCTTGCATTAAATTATTATTCTGCGGAGTATTTTTAGAAATCAATTAGGCTGTACGTTCATTAAGGGTATATATGTCCACACATGTATTTTTACTCCTATGTTACTCTATGGAACCTTGGAGTCCTATTTTTGCACTTTTATTATCTTTTAGTCCTAGATAGGGAATTTACTCTTAGCACTACCCATGTTTTTACTTGGATTCTTTGTAATCCTAGATTAGACTATATTAGACCATACCAAATTTAAATACATCAAAACAGATTAGATCAAACTAAAACAAATCAAATAAGCAGGGCCGTCTAGAATATATTTGAAGCCCCTAGACAGTCAAACAGAATTTAGTTTTACATTTCATTTCAATATATTTTGTTTATCAACTATATGGAAGTAAATAATGTACGAAATGCACAATATACTAATAATGTAAGGAGGATATTTCTTCGTAGTCATTCGCAAAAACATGAGAATTATATCTTTTTCTCAACAATGTTTGATGGAGATTGATTGTGTTTACTTACCCACTATATATAGAGCGGGGCAGCCGTCAAATGATTTACGACCATATCTTTTGTAGTTTATTCTTTCTCTTTGTATACTTGAATCAGATTTCTGTTTCCCTTAACCACAAAACTTACAATTTCATACGAAATAATATATACTCCGTAGTACGTAGTAATAGATAAGTAAATATTTGACACATGAAAAACTAAATCTCCATATAATATTAAAAACTAAATAATTGGTAGCAATAAGTAAGAAAATATTCAATCCAAGTACAAACACAACTAGATAAATTTTGTAAAGGAAACTAATTTCACAAGTAAATGATAAAGAATGCACTTTTACATATAAATGAAAATACAACTACAAAATTACAATAAATGATCAAACCATGACAATTAAACCAGTTATCTATCACGATCTCTGAAATCCACAAAGTTAACCACTTATTTTTAATCATTTTAATTATTTACACAACTAAAAGCTAAACGAATAAATAATATAATAAGCATTAAAATTTAAGAACCGTAACAGATCTACAAAATAGAAAAAATAGTTAGAACCGTGAACTTGGAAACCCATTAGTGTATGTTTAAAAATTGGAAACTACTTACAATTTAAATCAAATGTAGATAAAACACTATTAGACATATTTAAAAAATTGGAGGCCCCTCCATTTTGGAGGCCCTACACATTTGTCTAGGGTAAATGTCTCTAAAGCCGGCCCTTCAAATAAGACTAGTCCATAATTCAATAGTTATAAAATATAGAGAACTAAATTTTTCCAGACCAGATAACTTCAGATCAGATTAAATCAGACCTGTGTCTCCATGTTTGAAATGAGCTACAATTTTCACTCCGTAAGACATGATTTAATAAATCACAATACGTGCATGACTAGTCATTATTTAATAAAAAGTACTCCCTCCGTCCCGGTCATTTCTTCTGGTTTTGATCGGTATCGCAAATTTAGGTAGTGAGAATAAAGTGAAAATGTATGATTGTAGTTGTTTACAAAAAAAGTGAATGAATGTGAACCACATATTTTTTCCAAAAGTGTATGTTGGAAGAATTAATTGGGACGGCCCAAAAAGGAAAGTTGGAAGAAATGACCGAGACGGAGGCGGAGGTAGTAGTTGATATTATTTTACATCTGTTATAGTAAGTATATCAAATTATACCATTTTTTTTGAAATTTTGGTAAGAAATCATGCTCGTCCGTTTCAAAATATCTTGTCATTATTATTCTACTAATTTAAAAAAGTTAAACGAGGGAAGTCATAACTTACGTTACAATGCAAATGGGTGCGAGTAGTGTGTATTAATTAACACCATAACACCCCTATAAAAAGGACTGGTGCAACAAATCCTTTCAAGCACAAGCTTTTATACGTTGCAAAGATGGCACACTACAACCCTATCAACATTTACTTGGCTCTCCTAATTACAATTGCTGCAGGTGTGTATATATGTGTATATATGTACACACACAAATGATCAGGTCCGAACATTCAAATAAGTTTTTGAAGTTGACTGTGTTTTTCTATGATTTTTGGCCTTCCCGATTTCTAGTATAATTTGGCACAACCAACTTCAAAAAATCATTTGAAGGCCTTCTGGATTGAATTTTAAGCTGAAATTTTTTTGTGGATAAACTAAATTTGATGAAGAACATACCATAAAAATTTCATAAAAAAATTCGACTGGGAACCACCCCAAACGGCGGTGTTCGGACGGTGCCTCCTGTCCGAACGTTCGGACATGATAAGTTCTCTCTCTACATATAATATAATATAATCTTGAGTCTATGTTATGTTTGTGTAATAGTGAAAAACATGCAATTTTTCACTATCATTTCACGTTTCTTTTAATAAATCATTTACTCCGTACTACTTATATTTTAGTTGATTATACTTTGGGTTGCCTTGGGTCCCATTTTGTGTGCCCATAAATGATATTTTTAAGAAAAACCTTGGCGTGAATGTGTCACCTTTTAATATCTAGATAATATTTATGTTGCACTAACTTCATCACACTTATATTATTGTTTGCAGTTCACATGATTATTCCTCAAAATGTCTACGTAAATGGTGACACAATTTGCTACGTTGATCCAATACAAAAAAATCTTCCATGTGAGGGTGACGGATTGGGGGAAATTTGTATACCTACATGTATTAAGCAATTTGGACCAGGTTCATCTGGGACGTGTTCGTGGGATACTCCTGATAAACATTGTCGTTGTTATTTTGTAGCACCTAAATGCCCTTAATTTGTTTGCAATAAAATTATTATAGTAATGGATCCACAAGCCATTTTGCTCTTTTAGTCATCCAGAAGAATTTATTTGGCTCCCATTGTATTCAACAAAAAATAATAGGTGTGTTTTGAATTAAATTACGTGCACCTTTACTCATTGAAACCCAACTAGCTTTTGCAGCTACATACACGACAACTCCTAAAATGTGGACACCATCTTAAAAAAAGGAAAATTACATTTGTACATAAAATTTGTACATATGTGTACGCGCAAATTGAACAAGCCCCCCTAAATGTGTAAATAAGTGTACCACTTATGTATAAAATTTGTGTACAACATTTTAATAAGTGCAATTACTAAAAAATTACTAAAAAAACCATTCATGTGTTTGGACTTTGGCAGGTTGTACGACACCATAATTCTACAAATAGAAAGTAATATGGAGTACAGAGTATTCCACAATGCTTATTTCAAAAGTACTCCGTATAAAATATGGCGACGCCTTAAAAATAGAGACGACACCTTAAAAATAGAGATGAGTTTTATGACTGATCCAATGGATACCCACACCGAATCGTTCCGATCATAATGAGAAAAAGTGCATTGACCGGATAATGGGTACGGGGCGGGGAATACCTATTTTATTTTTATGGGTAATAGGGGTTTTACGATTTTATACATGTCCGTCCCATTACCCGCCACGTACCCGCCCTGTTTATATTTAGTTATATTTTTATTACATTCTTTTGCATATATATATTTGTCCCACAATAAATAAAAGATGACATTTTTCTCTTTTCATTGTGTATATATGGATGTACTAACTGTAATGTACGGATTATGAATGAAAGTTCATAATAGATAATAGATATTAATAGCCTCATTTTGTTATTGTCACATTTTTTCTTAATTAATTATTTTTCAATTGAAGTAATTTTTAGGTTCAAATTAATTTAGGCTGCCTTCATCTTGTCTTGTAGATGCACAAAACTTTTAAGTGGCATCTCACGTCTAGAGTCATCTAGGTGATACCATTTATATTAAAATATCAACAACCCGCGGTTATAACCGTTAACCCTTTGGGTGGTTATGGTTTGGATAAAAGTTACCCATTGATCAGTAATGAGGCAGTTACGGAGCGAGGAAGTTACTCAATAGGGCGGGTACAATTATATGCATAACCGTCCCCGATCCGCCCCGTTACTATCTCTACTTAAAATATGGTGAAGTCTTAAAATATTGAAAAGTTAATTATTTCTCACATCTTTGAAAAAGTTAACCGTCCCCCACCAAGTACGTTTTAACATAAGTACATCACGTCTTAGAAGCATGAATATAGAAGAGCGTACACTATACACCCGGTTATATAGTGCTCACTGCACAACAATATATTGCATGTTATGTTTAACGAGTATAACATTTTTAAAACAATGAATATTAGTATTTAATCATTGTATTGGTAGCACAATTGAGTATTATAAGCATGCAATTGAATATCATGATCTACACGTAATATATATGCTACAAATCAATTTATTCATTTAAGGGAAAATCACACTTTCAGTCCCTCAAATAATACTCACATTAAAATGTAGTCCTCATGTTTTTGAGTATGTAAATGTCACCCCTCAATTGTCAGAGCTGTTGTAATGTGGTCCTCGCCGTCAAATCTTGAGTTTCCACGAGCCAAGCTAATAGAATATTATTAGGATACTTGTTTCCTAGTTTGTATCCTAATAATATTCTATTACAAGCCTTATCATCATACTAGTGCCTTTTGCGCGCAATGCACGAGAGTGAATGCTCAACAATACAATTTATTATCAATGCCCAGCCTATCATCAACAATACAATTTATCAGCAATGCTCAATTGCAATTGATAATGGAACAACAACATTTCATATTAAACTCTCAAGTTTAACATATCTTGAAGCATGTGTCAAACAAAATATGTTGATATTCCAATCAACTATTCATTGTTATGTTATATGTAATTGTTCATCACTACATTTAATAAACATCTTCCATTGACCTTCACTACAAAAAAACAGCCCGTTTGTCACGGATTTTTGTCACGGATATAGGCCGTGACAAAGTAGTCACGGGCTTTGTCACGGAATTGTCACGGAAAAGTTTGTCACGGAAAAACCCGTGACAAACATTTGTCACGGATTCAGTCCGTGACAAATTGCCTCCGGTGACCGGCAATTGACTCCGACCAAAATTTATTTACTTCCGGGCACTTTGTCACGGACTGATCCGTGACAAATCCGTGACAAAATTCAAAAATAATTGTTACAGATCCGTCTGTGACAATTTCCGTGACAAAACCCAATAACTGATAATCCAGCGATCACCTAATTAATGTTGTATGAAAAGGTATTTGTCACGGATTTATCCGTGACAAATCCGTGACAAACTTTTCTATATATCCCAACGTAGTTTCATTCGATTGATACCAGTTAAAATT